CCAACACCCCCCCCCCCCTTCCCCCGACCCCCCCCCCCAGTGCCCAGCTCAGCTGGAAAGAAGCGCTGGGGTGTATGTGGGCAGATGCACCAAATTGCAGCAGCGAGCCTCCCCTCCCCATCAAACATCATGAGATGCGCAGGAAGAGAGCAAATAAGAACCCGACAGGCCTCTGTTCCAGACCAATGTACACCTATTTAATAAAACCATTTCAGACGCACGAGGCTGAGAACTGTCCCGGCCGCTGCCTGCATGGGCTGCTGGAGCCCACATCCAGGGAGGGAGGCCTTGATCAGCGCTCTGGGGCCACGGCCACGGCCACAGCCTCAGCCCAGGAAGCGCAGCCCGGCCATCCCGGAAAAGCCCAAGAGTACAGCGAGGATTTTGGGCAAGCGGCTGGAAGGAGCATGCAGCTCCTGGGGCAAGATCTCCAGGAAGGTGACGTACATGAAGGTCCCGGCAGCCACACCTTCCAGTACACTCCGCGCCAGGGAACTGCCTGTGCCAGAGCTGTGGATCACCACCATGCCAAAGCCCACGCCGAGGGGGGACATGAGCACAAAGCAGGCAATGGAGGCTGCAAGCCAGGGCAGGCGGAGGCGGCTCTGGAGCAGCAGCAGGCCCAAACTGGCAGCGATTATGCATTTGTGGAGGAGAATTGCCACCGCCAGCTGCAAGACTTTGCTCCCAGTGACTTGCAGCCCCAGCGCCAGGCCCTCGAACACCGAGTGCAGAGAGAGAGAGAGGGTCAGGATCAGAGAACGGAAGGATGAGGGTGAGCGAGGGTCGGCCCCAGCCTCGGCCTGCCGCTCCCCGACGGTGGCCTCTTCGCAGCGCAGGAGGGGCAGCGAAGCCTCGGCCCCTCGCTGCTCGCTGCAGTCCAAGATCACGTGCTCCAGGACCAGCACCAGCAAACAGCCCAGAGCCAGGATGAGTTCAGGCGTGGGGAAGTCCAGCTGGGGACAGGGAGAAGCAGGAGGGAGGGTCATCACAGCAGGCTGAGAGCCCACTGGGGCTGACCAAGTAGGGCGAAAGGACCCAGGCTAGGTGGACCACCACCGCCACCGCCGCCGAAGGATTCTTTCTGGCTGCGTTACTTTCGGCGACGGGAGCAGTCCAAGAAACCCAGGCTCTCCGGAGGTCTCCGCGGGGCCCGGGACCTGGCTAAAGGGGAGCGTGGGGATTCCATGCTGGATCCTTGTGGAGAGCAGCCGGCCACCTCCATGGCCTTCAAGCCCGCGGCTGCTGCCCCGACGGCCGTTCCCGCGTGAGTCAACCCCGAGGCGCCTCCAAGCCCCTCTCCGCTCCGACACGACGCAGGGGTGGGCCCCCCCAGGG